TAATACCTGTATCACAAGTTACCTCAAATTAATAAGGGCACCCCTTTGTAAATTTCAAATACTATTATTTAATTTAAAAAATTGCAAGTTCATATTTGCAAGGTCCAATGTCCAGGTCCAGCTAAAAGCATTTTAAATTCAGGATGAACAATATCACCAGAATTATTGTTGTTTTTTATTCGAGAGACAAAATCCTCGAATATGTCAACCTACTAGCTTTAAATTTTTTCTGTAAAACTGGTTATATTTTTCCGTTATTGTTGTTCATTTTACGGAAGAGATGGGTATGTAAACAGTTTCAATAATCGTTAGTTTTAGGCGAGAGTGTCTAAAATTGTTTTCTTAGTTCTTTATAGTAGGTACGTCAACTTTTATGACAATAAAATAACGTAAGTTGTCAAAAAGATCATTTAATTTACTAGAGAATTAAATTTTCAGTTAATTAATCCAATTATTATCAGAAATATCTGTAATACTGCCCAAAAATATTTAATAAATAACTAACTGTATAGGTACAATTTATTTAACTGAAGAATTTTCTAATCTCATTATTCTTGATTAGATATAAATCATGAATTCTGTTTAAAATTAAGTGTATTGTCTAGATTTATGTGCTACAATTATCGTACTAATATCATTTAGTTTTATTGGTTCTTTACAATAGAAAAATTTCCAATACATTCATTGCTGTATATAGATAATTCTTCATACATACTCAGTAAAAATATATTTTAGAATTAGTTCACCAAAATGTCGATAAAGTTTTGATTGATTCATAAATAGTGTGAGGGTAGTTCCCAATCTGAAACAATACTCAAGTAGAACATCCTGTTTTCAGTTCTAATGGGCTTTACTGTATGGTACTAACTACCAAGCTTCTCATTTTTTGCCAATAAGTACCATTTTGATTTTGAATTAGCAATCAACTAAATAAATACTTAAAGCAGTGCATTACTATCTTACTGGATTTTGTATAATGAAGTGATTTACAATAAATTTTCAGTTCTAATGTTCTGCTATTGATATACAGTTTGAATATGTGTCTTTTTTATATAAAAAATAGATTTTGAGTTATTGTCATCATGTACCTAATCATTCTTGTTTTCATTGCAGGTGTACCTACAACAGCGGAGCTAGAAAACAATAGTAATCAGAAGAAGTACACGGTCAATCGGACTTCAAAAGGGGATTTAGTTATTTCGAAAATAGTTTGTGGCCTTTTAGTATTGTTAGCAATGATTCTCATAGCATTAGCGGCCTTATTAACATACTTTTTATTACCTTATTGTCCAAATGAAGCTACTCCCGAAGCTTTAAGGAAAGCAGTTGTTAAAGATGGACCTGCAAGGCTTCCACGAAGTATACAACCCTTACACTATAGGTAAATTTACATAAGAAAGGGTATTTTTGGAAAACAATGACAATGACAATATTCCCTACCTAAAGTTTCTTAAGAAAATTTTAGTATTGATAAACATTTTGTACATTCCATTACGATGTGTTTCAATTCAATTCAATAGAAACTTCATCAGGAAAATTATTCTTATTTTTACTTTCTTGTAAACGGAATATAAATTTCATGGTAACGCTGCGCCATGGGTTCAGTTTTTTTAATTGAAAAGGACTTTGTTAAACATTACTGTCAGCTTTGACGACTTAGAGCCTATTAAGACTTTTAATCTACACGTTGAGAATTGCCAGAATCTAAAATTTCGAATAGTTTGACAGAAGGCTATTTCTCTTATGTCTTCTCCTATTTTTGCTTATGCTTTTCCAACAAAAAACAAAAAACTTCTTCAATTTTGATCAACCCTTATCTTCAACTATCTTTTCATCCAAATATCTCATTAACATTCCTGTCTTGTCTCTCTAAACTTTTTGAAAATGCTCTTTCACCTGACATAGGTAATTATGTCACTGTATCAAATAGCAATTTGTTGAAAAGGTTGGAACTAGTCTATAAAAAGCTCGCTAAAAATCAAAAATCAGGCCAATACCGATATCGAAAATCACCATAAAGTAATGTAATAAAATTCTTATCTTAACTTTACGGATTCCAAAGATAATTGTTCTCCTTGTTTTCCTTGAAATACTAAGCATTATTCCTAAACAAAGAAAAGATGCATGGCACTCTTAATCTACTTAATTGGAACAGGCAAGGAAGCAGTAAAAAAAGCATAGCCTACTTTTGATAATAGTGTGAAAGGCATAAGGAAGAAACAAACAAGAACACATAAAAGAAAATCGAACATTAAAATAGTACGAGCCGGTGGTCTTCCACCGTGAATTTTAGTTGTCTGCAGTCGTAAAGTCTAATTTCAGTTTTATTTACGTTTTCTGTTCATAATAAACTTTGGGAAGCCGATGCGATCATTTTTTAAAATAGATAGAACGAGATGGATATCTAATAGCATATATCCACAACCGAAATAAATTAGTGTTAATCTTTAAAACGTTATGAAAATTCGCATCACTTCCTTTTTTCAGCTTTGCTACTTATATTGAAATCTTCTTTTCAAAAAAAATTAATTTCTTTGATAAAGTATTCCATCAAAAGGTAAAACGTTGGAGTTAGTTTAAGAAAGTGCTTCTCTCCTTGAAAATAGTTCATACATTGGTATCATAAACAACAATTCCTTTATTTATGGTTAAATTAGAATCCTTACGAGTCAATAACTAATTAATGATATCATTGAATTGTTTCACAAACTTAACTCAATAACAATGTAAACATTTTTAATGACTTATTTATTTTCTCACTTTGAAATTTGATCACAAAAGACCATAAAGACATTCTTAGAATTACACTAGCAAAGTGTAGAATCGGTCTACTACTTTCTGTGTCTTTTTCTTGAAAAAGCAATAACTTTAATTGATGAATTTGTATTGATTTATTTTGTCAAGCGAAACAGTTTTTCTTCTTCTTTAAACATTATCCATAGTCATTTGTAAATTTCCCAAAACCGACTGGGTATCGAAATTGTATGTATTTTCATTTTTATTTTTAGACTTCAAATAATACCATTCCTTGAGGAAGGAAATTTCACAACAAACGGCGCAGTACAAATAAATGTGAATGTTACAGAATCGACTAACAAAATAGAGCTAAATATTAATGACATAGAGATAAACCAACATTCCGTAGCTGTTAAACGTGTAAGTGATGACAAAAGTGTAAAAGTAAGCGACCAAAAATATGATAACGAGTCGCAAAAATACATAATATCCTTAGCGGAATCCTTAAAAGAAGGAGATCAGTATCAAATAGCCATCACATACAATGGAAAACTCAACGATTACATGCAAGGGTTTTACAGGAGTTCTTACATTGATTCTAATACAAAAGATGTCAGGTATGATAAAAATATAAGTGATACAGATACTTCTACGTATCTCCAATAAATATTGATCCATCTTTATTCTCCATATGTTAAAAAAGTTCAGTTAAAGATTATTCTCTCACATTCAGCCCAAGTGTCTCATTGTGTCTTACCAGTTTTCATTAATATTAAATGTAATGAGGTCAGTTTAATTTCATAATAATAGAGAATTAACTTCTTCTGTTCTGAACAATTAACAAAAGAATGCAACACAATTAAATGCATTTATATATAATTCTCGGCTTAAATCTTTAAACTCTGCAACGTCTAGCCTTTTTTAATCTACAAATGGGTTTGCAGATGGATAGCAAGCACCCAATTCTCCCCAACAGATGCCCGAAGGGCTTTCCCGTGCTTCGACGAACCATCTTTCAAAGCAAAATACACTGTCAGTATCGCTAGACCATCAAATATGACTTCATTATCAAACATGCCAAAACGTGAAAGCGTTGTTGTGTGAGTCTCTACTTAATCCAGCAAAACTTAGCAATATTGTGACACTCCTGATTGTAGAGTCGACAGAAAAGATTGGATTTGGGATCACTTCAAAGAAACGCCTCAAATGTCTTCGTACCTTGTTGCTTTTGTAGTAAGCGATTTGCAGCCTTTCCGGTTCAATTCATCGGAAAAACTGTTCACCATTTGGAGCAGGAGAGACGCGTTAGAACAGACGAGATTGGCTATGGACATTGGACCAAGAATTTTGTCGTATTTCGAAAGATATTTCGGCATCGATTATCCCTTGCCCAAAATCGACATGGTTGCAGTGCCTGATTTTGGATTTAATGCTATGGAAAATTGGGGCTTGATTACCTTCAGGTAAACAACAAGGTGTTTCTTCTTTAGATTTTAGACCATCGTCTTGAAGAACCAGGTACAATTCTCAGGAATTTCTTTGATGAAGAGCATCCACTGATTGCGATCTTCATCAAGGAATCGCCTGAAGATATCGAGAACCAATAACTCTTCAAGACTACACAATTAAAAACCTTGACTAGAAAAATAAGTCTCTTTATTTTTTAATCCAGAGAAGCTGTTTTACTATTCGACGAAAAGATATCTACAGTCGAAGACAAAAGAGCTGTGGCTACCGTTTTAGCCCACGAATTGGCCCATCAGTGGTTTGGAAACCTCGTTACCCCTAAATGGTGGGACGACTTATGGCTAAAAGAAGGTTTCGCCAGCTACTTACTGTATTACGGAGTTAATTTTGTAAGTGCATTTACTTCACACAATAAAATCCCCCTTAATGCGAATAATATACGCGATAGGTGTTTCCCGATTGGAACATTTTAACTGAATTTATCATGACAGAAGTTCACAAGGCCTTCGCAATTGATTCCTTAAAGTCGACACACCCTCTGACCTTTACAGTTCACTCTACAGACGAAATAAGGCAGATGTTTGATCCCATCTCCTACTCTAAGGGTGAATACATTTTATATAACATTTATTAGTACTAATCGTTCTAATATACTACTAATGCTACTGCAGGTGCTTCCATTATTAGAATGATAAACAACTTCCTTGGCGAAAGAACCTTCAAAGCAGGACTTATCAAGTATTTACACACATTTACTTATTCTAACGCAAGACGGGATGATTTATGGGACGTGTTGACCCAACAAGCTCACGAAGACGGAAATCTTCATGATGATCTGTCCATAAAAGAAATTATGGATTCTTGGACTGTACAGTCAGGTTTTCCAGTAGTCACGGCTGTTAGAAATGGTAAAAGAGTCGACGTTTCTCAGGTTTGAAATTGAACACGTAAAATGGCGTTGGGGTAGTTTCTTTTATGATATTTTTTTGGCATAGAAACGGTTTACTTTTGACAAAAGCTTTGCCGAGGATACCTTGTGGTGGGTGCCGTTGTCTTATACTACCGATCTTCGTACCAATTTTGACGATACGTCTCCTAAGCAATGGTTGAAAAAGGAAACCGGAAAGAACTTCGAAATTGAAGCAAACAGATGGTGGCTTGTCAACCCACATCAGACAGGTATTTCACATTCTTCCTTTTTCATGACTTCGTCCTTATGGATTGCATCATTACTTTGAAACTATAAACTAGAATTGAATACTTGTTTCCCCAAGTTCTCCTCAATTATTCTTTACAACAATGAAAACCTCTTCAAAGAGTTTTGAATGATTTTGAAGAATGGAAGAGAAATATTGTTTTCCCAAAAGTCATTTTTGTTTAGTTTTGATGATGACCAATTTACAACCGTCCAAATTTAATACTTTCTGCTATTATGACTCTTAAACCATCAGTGCCGAGACCCTTTCAATTAATTTTTGAAAATCATGGCAACAAACAGACCAGGGATCAGTNAATGTGGTGTTATAGGCGAATGATGAGGATACCGTGGATAGAGAAGGTTAGAAATGAAGAGGTTTTAGGAAGAATAGAAGAACAGAGGACTCTATAGAAGTCAATAAGAAATAGGCGAGATAGGTTAGTAGGACACCTTCTCAGTCATGAAGGTTTAGTCAGAGACATATTAGAGGTAGAAACAGGAGTTAGGAGGGGTAGATTAGATTACTGTTCGCAAATAGTTAAGGATGTGGGATGTTCTAGTTTTAGGGAAATGCGAAGATTAGCTCAGGATAAGAAAGAGTGGAGGTACGTGTCCAACCAGTCTTAGGACTGACGACTTTATGATGATGGTGTTGATGATACCTTTAAGAATAATTCGGGCTTAAAATGTTTCATCTATAAATAAATAATAGGAGTAATAATTCGAATGAAAATCTGCTCTAAGAAGAAAAAGTGAGACGAAGTTCCTAGGTACATGTTATTACTAAAAACAGAATGCATTTACTGATAAGTAATATTTTTATACAGATTAACAAATAAATAATTTAATCATATTATTAAAGATTGATTTTTTTATCGAAGCAGGACAAAAGGTATAAAAATAAGTTAATAATTTTGTAATTAAACAATCAACCACACATGCAGTTTCCTAAACAACAAGCTTTCGAGATGAAAAAATTTTTCAAGTACATATTTATTTATTTATATTATTCAAATAGGTTATCAATAAATCTACAGAATACTATCTACACTTTTACGTAGCAAGTTTGTTCTAAATTTCTTGCCATTATGGGTAAAGAATTGTAAACAAATTACTACCGCACTTCAATTATTATAATTATAAACTCTACTAGTAATGTTGTAATATTGATAATAGTATCTGTAATAAACAAATACAGGTAAATTGTTTGTTAATGTGTA